CATTCACATACCAAAATTGAGCAAAATCCGTTGAACCTGAACTGACTAATGGCAATTCCCATTTTTGCCAAAAAATTTCCATGGCTCGAAAGTACGTCGACTGGCGTGCTCCAAAATAGGACGTTCAATATGGGAGCATAGCAGTAACAACTACCACATCTCAACTTGACGATGTCAAGGTGAGCTAAAAATAGAGGGCTCTGGAACTAACTCAGACCTGAAAATGGGGGTCTCTGGAACTAATGTTTGTTGAATGTGGGATGCTCTGGAACTGGCTATGTTCCAAAATGGGGGTCTCCGGAACTAGAATTTCGTTGAAATGCAATGCTATGGAACTGTACACGTTTTTAGGGAGTTTCCAGAACTGTGGGGAAACTGTGATTTGCATTAGAATCTATGCTGTAGCACTTGAACCAATAATTGTTGTATTAGAATCAACGTATGCAATTATAAACGGAAGTTTAGGGTTGAAAATGAGGGCCTCTCCTGCGGCACATACCTACCATGCAATATATATGGAGTGCCCCCCCCCTAGCTTCAAGAAACGGTATTGCTAGGGTTAGAATACCGTATAGACAATCCGTATAATCCGAATAATGTATAGACAATCCGTCGCACAGCCTTGTCGGGCTACCCCCCCCCCCCGGGCCTGTGGCGGAACGAAGGGCTATAGTTCTAGAGCTACACAGCAACAAGTTATTACATACCTTGAATGAACATACCAATTATACCCACGTGCGACAAAGGACATAGTTATGCTCATAGGGTCTATGTCCACCAGGGTACTGCCGGAACGTACCCTGGTAACTATATTTGATATGGTTAGGGTTAAGGTTAGTGTTAGGGTTAGGGTTAAGGATTAGGCGTAGGCGACTCCCTAGACTCGTTAGTGGATTAGGCGAGGTACTGTCCGGCATATCAGATAGTACCAGGGTACGTTCCGGTATACCGGACCGTACCAAGGGTAATTTCCGGCAGTAACCTGGGGGACATAGACCCTCTCGGGCCTATATGGTTCAAGGATAGAGAACATGGGGCCCATTGAGACCTATGTCATTTTCGTAAATGTGGGGGTAGCCCCTTTAAAGCCCTTTATCCTTGAGCCATTACGATTACCAAGGCAATTACTAATAGTAAATACTATATTAGTTAGATTTTATAAAGTTTTAGTTATGCCTGTTAGTGTTACAGAGTGCATCATCACTGTATCATATATTATGCCTTTTATCCCACCACTCGTTACTTAGCGACATTTATATATTAAATATCAATACTTATTACTATAGTCTAGACTCTATAGACAATGGGTACCAGGTACCTCACGCAGGCAATTGTGTTATAGCTGCCAAAGCACCCAACAGCTTCGACATCCCGAGCCAGGTCACTGCCATTGACGTCAGGGGACAGTGTTGAGAACATCATCATCATGTCGTATGGTTCAGTCATCGTAACAATACTAGGAGTAGCTCAGTGTACGCCTACCGAGTACTGTGTTACGTGTACTAACCTCGGAGCTCACACTACTACAGAAGTGACTGTACAGCCAGGTATCATAACGACAGAGATTGACGTGCAAATAACTAAAATCTATTTCTTGTTCCCAGTACACCAAAAACACAAATTGATCAAATTATATTTATGTACAAGTACACTTTCAAAGTGTGACTTTGTTACTTTCAACACGTGCAGTGCGTAGTGTACTCATTCACTACGAATGCTTATGAATCGCCATTGAAAAATCCCGCCATCTGTCGGGCGTGCCCTTAAATAATAAAATAAATACGCGATGAGTGGGCGTGAGAAGTAATATGAAGCTTGGGGTCACGCGAAGTGTCAAACCGTAGATATGCCGGAGCGTAGATGATTGCCACACACACACACACACACACACACACACACACACACACACACACACACACACACACACACACACACACACACACACACACACACACACACACACACACACACACACACACAATGTTTTCAGGTAAGTAGGTTGGTCATCGGGGTGCTGGTCATTCGTCTCGTCTTGCATGTCTGTCTGGTCTCAGCTCTCGTTTCGTAGAGGTCATCTCTCTCTCTCTCTCTCTCTCTCGTGTCTCTCTGTCTCATCTCTTCTCTCTCTCTCTCTCTTTCTCTCTTCTCGCTCTCTCTCTTTCTTCTCTCTCGCTTCTCTGTTATCTCTCCCGTTCTTTTTATATACTTCTCTCTCTCTTCTCCCTCTTCCTCTTTCTTCTCCTATCTGCGCGGGGGCGCCTTCTTTCGTTGTTTTGCTCCCTCTCTCTCGTCTCTCTCTCTCTCTCTCTCTCTCTTTCTCACCCCACTCCACTCTATTTTCTCTCTTCGTCGTTCTTTATTATCTCTCGTCTCTCTACCTCTCTCTCTTCTCATCACTCTTTCTCTCGTTCTCTCGGTCTGCTCTCATCTCTTTCTCTCTCTTCTCTCTGCTCACACTCGCTCGCGCTCTCTTCTTTCTTCTCTCGTCTCTCTCTTTCTCTCTCTCTCTCCTCTCTCTCTCGTCTCTCTCTATCATCTCTCTCTCTCACTCACTCATTCTCTTCTCCTTCTATCTCTCTCTCTCTCTCTCTCTCTCTCTCTGCTTTCTCCTCTGCTATTTCTCTTTTCTCTCTCTCTCTTCTCTCTCTTCTCATCTCATCTTCTCTCTCGCCTCTCTCTCCTTCTTCTTCTCTTCTCTCTCTACGTCTCTCTCTCTCTCTCGCTTCTCTTATTCTTTTATCTATCTTCTTTCTCTCTGCCTGCTCTCTTTCTCTCTCTCTCTCTGTTCTCGTCTCTCTCTCTCTCTCTCTCTCTCGTACTTTCTCTCTCTCTCTTCGCTCTCTCACTCTTTCTTTCTTCTCCACTCGTTCTCGCTCTCTCTCTCCCACTCGTTCTCCCATTCAGCTCTATTTCCTCTCTCTGCTCTTTATTACTCTCTCTCTTCTCTCTCTTACCTCTCTCTCTCTCACCTCACTCTTTCTCTCTCTCTCTCTCTCACACTCGCGCGCTCTCTCTTTCTTTCTGCTCTCTCTCTCTCTCTCTCTCTCTCTCTCACTCACTAAATTCTCTTTCCTTCTTTCTCTCTCTCTCTCTCTCTCTCTCTCTCTCTGACTCTCTCTCATCCTCTCTCTCGCTCGCTCTCGTCTCTCTCTCGTCTCTTTCTTTATCTATCTCTTTTCTCTCATCTCTCTTCTCTCTCTCTCTCTCTTCTCTCCTCTCTCTCTCTCTCGTCTCTCTTGTCTCTCTCTCTCGTCTCTCGTCTCTCTCTCGCGTCGCTCTCTCGCATCGTCTCTCACTCTTTCTTTCTCTCACTCGTTTCTCGCTCTCTCTCTCACTCGTTCTTGGCTTCTGCAAAGATATCGAGCGGACAGACACACACACAACAACACGCCACTCACGCACGCAATATCACTATCGCAACTAGCTCATGCACCGGTCGACGCTAAATCACTCAGCGCGCACACAACACACACACACACTATAACTCAACGACTAGCTATACATACAAACTCTGCATGCTCGCTCTCAATAAAACGACAGGTATTCTCACCCATCCACGAGCTTTAACACTTCATCGCGGGAGCGGAAGCTTATGATTCAGTACGTAAGCAGGGCCCGATAGAGTTTTAGATGGATAATGTGTCACGGTTAACTATGTTAATTAACAAGGGTAAGTTCAGAACTGAGATAGAGAATAACGAAGTATGAATCGACATTTGTCGTTTCGAATCGATCGCGGTTGGTGACGGACCGGAGATACGTGTGACTCCGGAGGACGAACGATGACGTTGGAGAAAGGACTGAGTGAGTGTGGCGGAAGCTGGTGCACGACAGCGGAGACTATGTGCAGCAGCGAAGCAGCCAGTACCTGAGCACGACGAGAGACGCGTTCCGCTTGCGAGTCTCGTACCACCGGCTACTGGTGCGATGAATGCACTCATTGTTCGACGTTACGGTTGTGGGCATTGTTGCAGTAGTCCCCTCTTCTTACAAAGTCTATTCCCTATCCTCGTCATCTTCGGCCGTCTTGTCTCGTGCCCGTTCCTTCTTCTTTTTCATTTCGGAGACGGACTTTCTGATAAAAATTATTTGGCCTTCCGTTGCTCTGTTTTCCTTTGCCTTGCGGATTCTTCCTTTCTTATTTTCTCCTTTTTTCCTTTGCCTCCGTCTTCTTTCCTCCCTGGCAACTTACTTCTCTGACACGTTGATATTGTCCTGCTTCCTCGAAATTCTACTCGCTCCTCTTCACCGTCTACTTTTCCCTTCCTCGATGGGCTTCCCTCCTCCCCAGTTTCTGACGATTATCCATCCCCGTTCCTGTCTCTACTTCCGCCTGTTCTGAGATTGGGAATATTTCTTCACCTCACTGTGCCCCTCTTTTGTGACATCGACCACTGGCCTGTCCCTTGGTGGAGGGCCTCTCGTGCCTCTGGCTTTTCTTGCTGTTCCGTCTTTCTTCAAGCGAGGGTCTCGACTTCCCGCATCTCTACCTGACCTGACTGCTTTCCAATGTGATACTCTGATGGACCGCACTGTGATGTCTCTTTTCCGTCTGCCCCGCTACGAGTCCTTTTCCATTGACCTTCCAACGCGCATCTGGCGAGTTCGTCTGGACAATTTTGCGAGCCCGATTGCTTAACGATTTTTTACTGATGGCTAGAGCACCAAGAATAAGTTGACATTTACACTCGACCAGCGTGAGAGAAATAATCGCATTGATGCCGGTCTATTTGGTTGTGCTAAGTACGAAGTGCACGTTAACACTACTAAACTCGCTCACGCTGCCGAAATTCCCGGATAGACCAATAAGGCGCATAATCCTCCCTTCATCTTGTTCTGTACCCTCTGCTCCCTCCGTCCCTGCACAGGTGTATCATCTTTTACAACTCTTCTTTTTTTTCCAGGGCGGCCGGCCTTATCAATTTTCCTCGCGAGAAATTGATAGCGCAACGATCAATGAGAGAATGAGGATGGATAAGCTTTTAAAGTCCAAGGTATGTAATAAATCTGGAATAATTTGCCAACGACATCATCATCCAGGTCCATGACGTCGCACGAAGGTGATTGTGGGGGAGGTGGATGAGAAGTAGGGAATCGGAGGTGGGTGAATAACGAGGGAGGAAGCTGGCGCCTGAAGGATTAGTGAGGCGGAGAGGACATAAAAGGAAAAGAGAGAGGAGGAGAGAGCGGAGATGACGAAAGGAAAATTCACTGTGTGCAGGGAGTGGGAGAGAGAGAAACAGCGAAGAGGGGGAGAGTGAGGAGAGAGGAGAGGAGCATGACGAGAAGGGGAGGAGAGGGAGGAGAGGAGCGGGACAGACAGAGCAGAGGGGGG